GGGATTTGGAGGCAGATCAGAAGGGAAAAACCATCGGCTCCAGAACAGTTGGTAGTGGTTCTCTTCCCTCTATAACTAATGTTTTACTTGTTGATGAATTAATGCATAATTTTTTATCTATAAGTCAATTAAGTGATAATGGTTATGATATTATTTTTAATCAAAATTCTTGTAAAGCTGTTAGTCAGAAGGATGGTCCTATTCTATTCAATAGTAGAAGGAAAAATAACATTTATAAGATTAGACTTTCTAATCTTAGAGAACAAAACATAAAATGTCTTATGTCGGTTAATGAAGAGAAACGAAGTTGGCATAGACCATTGGGACATGTCAACATGAGAAGAATATCTCAGCTAAAGAAACTCAATTTAGTCTGAAGCCTTCGCAATCTGAAGTTCTCTTTAGAAGCTCTTTGTGAAGCATGTCAGAAGGGAAAGTTTTAAAAAACTTATTTTAAAGCAAAGAATCTTGTTTCTACCTCCAGACAATTGGAACTTATACACATTGATTTGTTTGGTCCAGTAAAGACTGCATCAATCAATGGAAATAAGTGTGGATTAGTCATTGTCGACGACTATAGTAGATGAACTTGGGTAAAATTTCTTAGACACAAGGATGAGTCACACCCTGTATTCACCCTATTCTATAATCAAGTATAAAATGAGACGAGTCTCATAATTGTTAAGGTTAGAAGTGATCATGGAGGAGAATTTGAGAACAAACACTTTAAAAAACGGTTTGATGAAATGACATTTCCCATGATTTCTCCTACCCTAGAACTTCACGAAAAAATGGAGTCGTAGAAAGGAAGAATATGACTTTGCGAGAAATGGCTAGAACCATGATAAATGAAACCAACATGGCAAAACACTTTTGGGTAGAGGTTGTAAACACATCATGTTACATTTAAAATTGAGTTTCTATAAGACCTATTCTGAGTAAGACTCCCTATGAATTATGTAATAACAAGAAGCCCAATATTTCTTATTTTCATCCTTTTGGATGCTCTTGTTTTACGTTAAATAATAAAGAGAATCTCAACAAGTTTGATTCTAAAGCTCAAAGTTGTATTTAGAATATTTTGAATGCTCAATAGGTTACAGAGTATATAATAATGAAATACTTATTATTGAAGAACCAATCCATGTTAGATTCAATGATAAGATTGACCTTGAAAAGTCAAAGCTAGTTGAAGAACTTGCAGATTTAGAGATTACCTACTCAGGCAATGATGGTAATGAAGCTAGTTCATAAGAACAAGATGTCAAAGAGTCAGAAGATGCTCAACCAGAAGAAGTTGAAGCACATACACCCTCGAGGAAGCCCAGACAGAGATTACACACTCTGAAGAATTAATTCCAGGAGATAAAGTTGAACCTATCAAAACTATATCATTTTCAAACCTGCTGAAGATACACTTCTTTGTTTGGTGTTCGTGATAGAGCCTACACCCATTGATGAAGCACTTCTGGACAATGTTGGATTCTAGCCATGCAGGAAGAACTCAGTCAATTCTCAATAAATAATGTATGGGTTCTAGTTCCTAGACCCAAAGAAACTCACGTTCGTTGAACTAAGTAGGTCTTCAAAAACAAGCTCAATGAAAAGGGAGATGTGGTAAGAAGCAAAGCTTTACTGGTTGCACAAGGATATAATAAACAAGAAGGAATTGACTATACAGAAACCCTTGCACCAATTTCCAGGTTAGAGTATATTCGCCTATTAATTTCTTTTATTGTTAATCACAACATCATCCTGTATCAGATGAATGTTAAAAGTGAATTTATGAATGGTTATATAATTGAGGAAGTGTATGTTCACCAACTTCCTGATTTTGAAGATATTAAAAATCTAAACTTTGTGTTTAAACTTAAAAGATCATTGTAGGGTCTGAAATATGCTCCTACAACTTGGTATGAAAGATTAAGCAGTTTTCTTTTAGAAAAGGGTTTCACCAGAGGAAAGGTTGATACCACCTTATTTTGCAAGTCATTCAAAAATTATATTTTAGTAGTTAAAATATATGTTGATGATATCATATTTGGTTATGCTAGTGCCATTATGTGCAAATAATTTGCTAAGACTGTGCATATTGAGTTTGAAATGATCTTAATGAGAAAGCTCAAGTTATTTCTTGGGATCTAGATAAATCAAGGATCAGAAGATACTTTCATTCATTAGAGCAAGTATACCAAAGAACTTCTAAAGAAATTCAACTTGTCTGAATAGAAGATCGCCAAAACTCCAATGCATCCCACCTGTATTCTAGAAAAAGACGAAGTAAGCGGTAAAGTAGATCATAAGTTATACAAAGGTATGATAGGATATCTACTATATTTAATTGCTTCTAGACCTGGTATCCTATTCAGTGTGTGTTTGTGTGCTCGCTTCCAATCAGATCCTAGAGAATATCACTTGACTATTGTTAAGAGAATTTTCAAGTGTCTGAAAGGTACTACTAATCTTGGTTTGTCTTATAAAAAATCAAGTGAGTATAAATTAGTAAGTTATTGTGACGTTGACTACGTTGATGATAGACTGGAGAGAAAAAATACTTCTGGAAACTGTCAGTTTCTTGGGGAAAATTTAATCTCATGGTCCAATAAAAGACAATCCACAATAGAGCTCTCCACTACAAATGTCAAATCCGTGTATTTCTATAGTATGACATCATTGAGGAGATTTTTGAGATTGATTATGTTACTTTCAAAGTGTCTTTATTTAAATGCAAGTGGATCTCCAATAATAATGGTGTACAAATTGATGAATTGGGATTCACACGGATTGACCTTGGTATGACAACTTATAAGATTGAATCATTCATCATGGCTACTTAAGCAAAACAAGTTTTTTATGTGACAGACCCTGCAGACTTATCGGGAAGATGGTCAATTGTTCTCAAAGAAAAACACATTCCTCACATTGATGATGAAAGTTTTGATATTGTTGTCAATCCTTCTTACGTAACATAAGTGCTTAATTCATATGAAAAAGTTGATAAAGATGATGTGCATGCTATTCGTAACGATCATCAAGAAGGAATATGAGAAAATTAACAAGTAAGTATTTTATATTCTTCATTCATAATTTATTGTTTGTTATAATTTCCAATGATGTTACTTAATTTCTAACAACTATTATTATTTGAACTTGTAGGTGTTTAAAATGAAGACACCAAAAAACAAATACACCAAGACAACAAGATAGTATAGTTTGATGTAATGATGTGTACATTATAAGTTGTTTTATCTCAATTTTGGTTTTTATGTAATATACAAGGTTTGGTTCCTAATGAAATTATATCATTGATGTAATACAATTTTTGGTCTAATTCAATTCACAAATAGGTGTATTGTTGTTTCTAGTATGATACGATTCAGAAATATTCAGGTTGCAACATTGGATATTATGTAAAATTGAAAAATATATTTAAAAAATACAAATAATATCACAACGGTTGTTAATTCAGCTATTGTTATAAGTAGAGCACTATCCAGAATTATAAAAACTAAAAATGACGTTGTATGGTAGGATTCAAACCCAAGACCTTTCAATTATTTCACAACGGTTGTTATAATTAACGCGCTATCGAATTTATAACAACATTCACATGCCTATTGTGGTAAGCATCATACATACAACAGATGTGTTACTGTTATTGTATGTTTCGTAATCATTATTGTATATGTTTTTCATAGTAGTGTCTAACCTACTAATTATCTCACAAATTATATTCTGAATAATTATTAAAGACAAAACTGTAGTAAAAAATAATAAATTCTAGTAATAAAATTTATAGTATAAACATAAAATAATAGACTAATAAGTAAAATATATTAAAATATTATATAATTTTTCTTTGATGATTAAATTTGATATACCTGTTCAAACTTATTAAAATTGATTGGATACAACAAAAGTTATTAATATTTTAAAAATATTTATCAAATTTATAAATTAAAAAATCAAAATTATTATATTTAAAAATAAAAATTTATCATAATATTTTTATATTTTAAAACATATTAAATTAACAAGTTAAAATATCTTTTTATAAACAGTTAAACTATATTTTAATTAAACACATAATTTATTTAATTAAATGTAAATCAAAAAATAAATAGTCCTATCTTTTTATTGATCTATTAACAAACTTTTGGACTATATTTGTTAAATTGTAATTCATATGTGTCAAAGAAGATTTGATTTGTTTTAGATTTAAATAGATTTGATTTAAGTCTAGAATATATTTGATTAGATTTGATTTAATAACAAAAAGATATTTTGGACTTTGGGCTTTGGGTGTAAGCTCAGTTATAAATAGAGAGAGTAACTGCACTTGCAAAGTGAATAAGAAAGTTTTCCACAGTTTGTGTGCAGAGAAAAACTCTGCAGAAATAATTATCTTATCTTCTTTTATTTGTTTTTCTCATAACTAATCATTATTGGTCGAAATTCATCATAGTATTAGGTGGATTTCCAACAATATTTTTCCTAATATTTCACATAAAAAATCCAAACCCTTATTATTTAGTGAATCAAACTCGTTGATCTCCCATCGCTGCAATCTTCACGCTTCAATTTCAATCAGGTTAGCCCTAATTCCTATTCCCTCTCTCAATTTTCATGTTTATCTTTTTTATTTGTTTTGTTGATCACGAACAACCTCGTACTTTAGATAATAATCGACGATACTGTTTTACATTTACGTTGTCTTTAGATGCTTTCCTCAATTCCTCCGAACAATTTCCGATCAGATTGTCGTGTTTTTGTTATATTTTGTTAATTTGTCTTCAAAGCTAGGTTTGTAATTTTAAAACATGTTTGAAAAGCTTTTGTTGTTGTTTCTGGTCTGCATGTATGTTTTTTTTTTCTGTTTGGTTCTTGATGTGTGCACTGCATAGTTAAAGACTGTATTTTTGAGAATGTTATGTTGTTGTTTAATCATCTAATTTTTTGGTTGTAGATTTTGTTTTAAGCAGCAACATCAAGTCGAAAAAATGCCTAAAGTTAGAAGAGAGAATTCTCCGGCTATGGATTGCAGTGGATCATATCCCTATCCTTCCAAAAATCTTGAGCTGCCTAAAACTAGGTTTGGATCGGTCGAGGATCGGAAAGAATGGGATGATACTAGATGTTCTATTTGCATGGAAACTCCTCATAACACTGTTATTCTTAAGTGTTCTTCTTATGAGATGGGTTGTCGTCCTTACATGTGTAATACGAGTTACCGACACTCCAACTGTCTTGACCAATTCTGCAAGTCATTTGATTCTCATCTATCATCGGCAAAACTAGAAGAAATTCCGCTCGTAAGAACAGCGCCTCATGATAAGAAACTTCGGTCAGAGGTTGTGAATCCCTCTCAATGTGAGAACAAGTTGCAAACAAAGCTTATCTGCCCTCTTTGTCGGGGAGGAGTATATGGATATATGGTATCGGAGCCTGCTCGAAGGTATATGAATTATATACGAAGGACTTGTTCGTCTGAGACGTGTGAATTCCAGGGAACATATCCAGAACTCAGGAAGCATGCTAGGATGGAGCATCCTTCTGTTCGGCCATCAGAGGTGGATATCTCCCGACAGTGTGACTGGTTAAGGATGGAACAGCAAAGAGACTTTGATGATCTTTTTAGCTCAATCAATGCAAGTTCTGGTGCTGAGCACAGTGGAGAAGACGCCGTATATTGGGCTGGGGGTTTAGCTGACATGATGTCCATGTTAGTGTCTGAAATGCTTACTGGCTTTGTGACTAGTTTTTCGCCTGATCCAACACCTAGAGTCCCATCACGTGACAGAAGATCTGAAACAATCCACGCGGTACCAAATGATACACAGACAAATCAATCTGCTACGCCGATATCCATTTTATCTTCAACAAATTTTACGTTGCCTGAAATGTTATCCTCTGAGTTTGATAGATTTGTGGCTAGTGTTTTCTCTTATCCAACACCTAGTATGCCATCACACGACATAAGATCTGAAACGATGCACTGGGTATCAAATGATGCACTGACAAATCAATCAGCTAGAACGAGATCCGTTTTCCCTTCAACACATTTCACCTTGCCTGAAATGTCATCCTCTGAAGCAGATAGATTTGTGAATAGTTTGCCTTATCCAACACCTAGAATGTCATCATACGACAGAAGATCTGAATCGATGCACGGGTTATCAAATAATACACACACAAATCAATCAGCTAGACGGAGAACCACCTTACCTTCAACACATCAAAGGGAGAGATTTGATAGAGGTGGATGGAGATCCATTTCGTCATCATCCCGTGATCCAGAGGCAAATCGTACTGCCAGATGGAGAGAAAATATTCCGCCCTCAAGAATGACTCAGGCTCATAGTGAAATTGTTGAAAATTATTATAGAGAGTTGAGCCCTAGGGGCAGAACATCTTCAACAAGGATGCCTCTAGTTTCACAAGTTTCTCATACTAATCTCCAGCCCAACTATTCTTCTTCTAGAAGAATTCCTGGTCAACAAGTTTCTCATACTAATCCCCGGCACAACTATTCTTCTTCTAGAACTCCTGGTCAACAAATTTCTCATACTAATCCCCAGCGCAACTATTCTTCTAGAAGAATTCCTGGTCGACATTTGCAATGGCGCAGCAATCAAGGACAGTGATCAACATTCAATAGAGAGTTTAGATGGACGAAATAGTTTTTTGTTATGTTAGCTAAAAAGTTTGTTTTTTTCTATAGTTTATGAAGATACTTTAATAATTATCATGTAAGATGATTTATTTGGATGATTTGGTTCAGTAAAGTTGTATTGCAACTCATAATATATTTCTTAATACAAGTTTGTTTTAATTGAGAATAGTGCAGCTTGGTTGTTAGACAATGTCTTCTTTGTTGTGTTTATGTTGTTATGTTGTTTAAAATTGTTTTTGAATGAATTTAATTTGAAAGTTTGTCTAAGTTGATTTTGTTTGAGTAAATTATGCGTAGTGGAAATAAATTCCAATGAGTATATTGTGCAAACTTCATCTCTAGTTGACGTGCTTAGCAGAGACCATTCTTGAAATACTTCCTGATTTGTTTGATGTGCTCGCTATGTTAATTTGATACTTACTTGAGGTGAATGCACTCATTAAGCCAATGTTAAGGTTTCCAACACTTGGTATGAGCCATTACAGTGTTAAATTTTCCTAAGAATCAACCTACAATGTTATTTCCTTTACGTAGACCATTGCCTAATGATTCCAAATGCAATATATCCAACCAATATTAGTGACTTTTAAAGGGAGCCTCAAGCATTCTTTATTAGACCTAAAAGTCTCATCGGAACTCAAATATGCCAGTATCAGATGCTCCACATCATGTCGATAATAATTATGGAAACCTAATAGGCCAATGCACTTGCTATGGTTTTTCAATAAGTTATGCTTTTTTTTCTTTCTTTTTGTTAGTTAGCCTTGGTATATTCCTCTTACAGCACCCCTCAAGGTTATGTGGGTGTGAGTTGATTAGAGTCACACATAGTCACGTGAGTGGTTGCCTCTTAAATATTTAAATCTCGAAGGAGAAAAAACTTTGGTGAAAATGTCACCATATTGAAAATGACCAGGAACATAAGTACTTTGTTGAGTACATTTTTCTTACAAGGAGGTCCGGCTCCACGTTTGGTATGTGAAGGGAATGGTCGTGAGAAAGTGCAATAACATTCCTGTTATCACCCAAAATAGTTGTAGTGGAGTAAGGAATACCCAACACAGTAAGGAGAGACTGAACCAATTTTTTTTTAAAGTATCAAGTTTAAGACTTGCTTTTCTATTAGATCTTGAGATGATTGGTTGTTTCTTTGCCCACCATTAGGTCAGTTTGGATCCTATTACAACACAAGCACCAGAGATTGAGCTTTTATCACCAGGGTCTAAGTCCTAGTTAGCATCACAATAAATAAATAAATAGATGATAGTTATATCTGGTGATAAGATTGCATAGAGACCCTATATGATAGTTCATTTGGATATTTAAAGATCATTTTGAATGTAGTCTTGTGTAATTCCAAAGGTTGTGAAGTGAATTGACACACCTTATTCACACCTAAAACAAATGTTAGGTCTAGTAGTTATGGCATTATTGGATGGCATCCACAATTGACCTATAAAGGGTTGAATTAGGATATTTTCCTTCAAATGATTTTGCTAAAGATGTTGTTTGATAAATTTTAGTACTGAGGTTCTTCTTGAATATACTTGATGGGGGTGTAACAGTAAACACTTCGACGATCAAGACAGTGACAACAATAAGTGTGAGGTTTAGGGTTTAGAATAATGAGTATATGGGTCTGAAATGTTCTCATAACTTTATAGTCATGTTTTAGGTTTAAAAGCCCTAGAATACTCTTTTGAAGCAGTTGTCTCTGAGGGCAGATGCCATGTGATTTAGTTGTCCATACCATATGATGGTTCTCTTGCATGTTGGTTTTAGAAAGAAGACCTCCTATGTACTTTACCTTAAAAAGTAAACAGTTTTTTTTTGTTATAGGTTTCTAATCTATATTTAGGAAGTAGTCATAGTTTCTTGGTGCTCCTTTAGAAAGAAGACATAGTTTAATTGTGTGACCAATTGTTGAATAGGTGTGGGGTTATTATTGGCTGTGTGACCATTGTTGACATCAAGTTATTGGAGTGGTCAATGTTTACAAAAGTCCAAGGTTATAATGGCCATACTATGACAAGTTTGATAACTTGACTAAATATTTCAATGTAGTCACTCTAATATTTTTACAGGCTTTGGTCACTAATTTAATCTTCTACTTGTGTACTGAACCATGTGTTAAAATTAATTTAGATTTTATAATTAATTAGATATTAATTTATATTTAGGAATATCTTTTAGATTGTTTATATTTTTGTTAGAAGATATATATCTTAGATCTTCTTATATCTTTGTTAGAAGATATATTTTAGATTTAATTTTGTGTATAAATAGCCTAGTGTAGTAGGTTATTGTAATTTATTGTAAATCCTTATTTTGAAGCTATCAGTAAATATTTCTTTTGCCTTTCATCTCTTTTTTGTGCACCAACAATTGGTATTAGAGCCCCGGTTCGAAATCTACGGAGAAAAGAAGTATTGTGATTAAGAATTACAATATTCTGATTCTGGGGGTTTTGAGAAACATTGATTCGGGAAACTCTGCGTAAATTGCTCAAAGGTAGAAGTTGAATGGGAACAGAGACGATATTCATTCCAAGCTTACAGTATTTGATGACAAAAACTGGAATCATTGGAAGATCCAGATGCGCGTGTTATTTGGTGCTCAAGATGTGTTAGATCTTGTCACCGATGGCTATAATTTGTTAGAAGCAGATACAACAGAGGCACAAAAGATAGCATAGAAGGCGCTGAGAAAGAAATATCAGAAGACGTTGTTCTATATTCATCAATGTATGGATGCGAATGTGTTTGAGAAGATTGCTGATTCTGAAATAGCGAAGGCTGCATGGGACACACTGGTCAGATGTTACGGTGGTGACGCATCAGTGAAGAAGGTGAAGCTTCAGTCTCTCAGAAAGCAATATGAGAATCTCAACATGAAGGACAACGAGAAGGTTTCTGAATACATCTCTAGAGTGATTCTGATCATTAATAAGATGAAAGCTTGTGGAGAAACTTTGTCTGAATAAGTAATTATTGAGAAGATCTTGAGATCTTTAACTTCTCAGTTTGATTACATTGTGGTAGCAATTGAACATTCCAAATATTTGAGCACCATGAGAATTGAAGAGCTGCAAATTAGTCTAGAGGCGCATGAGTTGCGTATGACTGCAAGAACTTGAGAGGAAAGTAGAGCAGCAGGCTCTGAAGGTAACTTCTAGTAAGAAGCATCAGAAGCAGACTTGGTCAGAAGCCAGGAAGAAAACTAATGGTGGTCAAAGGTCAGAAGCTTCAAACTCTGATAGGAAGAAGAATATCTAAAAGGGAAAGGAGAAGTCTGACAAGAAGAATGTTCAGTGTTACTGTTGCAGGAACTTTGGTCACTATACCAAAGATTGCTGGTCAAACAAAGAAAGGAAGTCAGAAGAAGCAAATGTAGCCAGAGGAGATTCAGATGATGAACCTGTGCTATTTATGGCTTATGAATCTGATGAGGAACCAGTGAAATTGTCATTTTCTTATTCTGAAGGGGAAGAAGAATATGACTCTGAATATTATGATTCTGGAGGAGTGATTTTGTATGAGTCAGAATTAGAATATGGCTGAGCTAGAATCAAATGACGACTTTGAAGATTTTGAAGATGAGTCAGAATCTGAGGTTTCTGAAGACAAGTTAGAGTCGGAAGATGACTCTGAAGCTGAAGACAAGTCAGAATTCGAAGGTGATTCTGAGTCTGAAGAAGATTATGATTATGAAGAAGAGTAAGAAGATAATGACTCTGGAAACTCTGAAGGTGAGTCTGATGGTGAATCTGATTCTGATCCATATTTTGATGATGATCTAGAATTTGGTGGTGATCATGCTTCTAGAAGGGAAAACTCTAAAGACGTATGTTCTGGAGGACAAGCTTCTAAAGATGATCAGGTTTCTGGTAAAAATCATGACTCTAAGGATGAACCTTCTGAAGGAGGAACTTCTGAAGGAAATTCAGTCTTTGGCGGTGATCATGATTCTGAAAGTGGAACTTCTGAAGGCAGAGCTTCTGAAAGTGATCCAATTTTTGAAGATGGTATTTCTAAAGGTAGTGGTTCTAAACGATGTCCAAAATCTAACAAAGGTGGAGCTTATGGTGGTAGTCAAACTTCAGAAGATACCGAAGGAGAAGATGATTATGACTCTGACTCCGATGGTGATCCAGACCCTGAAGACAGTCAAGGTTTTGGAGAAAGTCCAATTTATGAAGTAAGTGCTTCTGAAGGGGAAAGTTCTGGTGTCCAAAATATGAAGGTCCAGTTTAGAGGCAACAGAGAGTCAGAAGCCTCCCAAGAAGATTTGCAGAGTTTGACATGTTGCAAGACACTGAAGTAGACTCTGAAAAAGAAGTTATTGAGTGTGAAATGTTAGTAGACTCTGAATCCGTGAGTACGGAAGAGGCTCTTAAGAAGCAAGTTTGATTACAGGCCATGAAAGAAGAACTCGATGCTATAGAGAAAAACAAAACTTGGAAGCTGACAGAACTTCCAAAAGGCAAGAAAGCCATCAGTGTCAGATGCGTTTTCAAGCAGAAGCTAAAACCATATGGATCAATTGGCAAACACAAAGCAAGATTAGTAGCAAGATTCTTTCTACAGAAGCCTGGGCTGGATTACTTTGAAGTGTTTGCACCTGTAGCGAGACATGAAATAATCAGACTAGTGATTGCAATAGCTGCTAACATGAATTGGCCTCTGAAGCATTTAGATGTAAAATATGCATTTCTGAATGGTCCATTACAAGAAGAGGTATATGTATCACAACCTCCTGGATTTGAGAAAAATAATCAGGAAGGGATGGTGTTCAAATTACACAAAGCCTTGTATGGATTAAAGCAAGCACCCAGAGCTTGGAATTTGAAGATTGATTCGTTTTTCAAGGAACTGGGGTTTCAGAAGTGTGAGATGGAGTATGATGTTTATATTTGTCATACGGTGGGAGAACTGACTTGGTTGTTTTGTGTTTGATCGCAAATGTTACGGT